CCAGGCAGGGCTTGCTCCTTAGTTTCATGTCTGTAGGCATGGTCCCTGGCTAAGCAGCAGTCCTCTCCCAGATGATGCTGTGTGCAGGTAGGAGCTACATGAAGGTCTATCCCAGTAGCCAGAGTAAATGAGACCACCATGTCTGGAGGAGAAAGAAATATTAGATGTGTCAGTGAAACGTGCTTAGAGCCACTGACTATGGATGTATCACACTCGGCCCTGAGGAGGAGCCCTGGCCAACTTAATGCACCTGAGCAGGGATAGCCAAGGAGCACTGGCAGCTCCTGGGCCTGTAGGACGCACTCTGGCTGCTGCAACAGAGCTAATGTTGATGCTGTCCTGGAGTGGAGTTGTACCATGGAGTGGAGTGATGCCTCCAGGTCCCTTCTAACCTAAGATATTCCATTATTTGTCAAATTGGTATATGACCCTGAGTAACACTTTCTCTCTCCTCCTTTATGTTACACGATGTGTAATTACAGCCCTAGACATCTTGGGATACCTCTTTTAAACCAATATTTTCATTTGAATAACATGCAATTTTGGAGGGATTCATTAGAGCTTCTTTCTGAACATACAGTTTTGAGGTACTCTAATTTACTTAGGAATTTTCTGGTCTTTTGTATACCCAGGCATTCCTACCGCAGTAGTTCTCTGTAAGATGTCTTTTACATTTTCTCAAGCATTTAATTTTGTCTAAATAATCTTTTGTAAGTATTTTGTATCAGATGGAAATTCACATTCTAACAGTAAGTTAAATAATTTCATATTGAATAGTAAAATGGGGTTATAATAAATCCAGCCTGTAGAAGGTAGATTGGACTTTGGTGGCATTTGAAGTGAATATTGGTTTTGAGACTTTTTACACAGCAAATTTCAGACTGTTTTTGTAAAGGTTTAGGAGCTGCAGATTTAAGTTGTTTGTGTAAATGTAAAATCAGAAAACTAGACTTTCTCAAAGTGTCTTCTTCATGTGCTTAAACTACTATTCTTGCCTTAATCACCTTAATCTTACCTACCCATGAAAGCTCTTTATTTCAAATAAAGCTGAGGTTGTGAATAAATTGACCCATACCTCATTCTTTTATGGATTGTGTCCTCTGGGATAGTCTAAATTCACTCTATCTGTCAATCAGAATATTATGATGTAAAAATATCAATTTTCCTCATGTACACATTCCTTTTACTTTTCGATAATCTTGGGATAATGAACTCTCGAGCTGATTTAGCACTGCAGGTAGTTAGTGAATGTTTAAAGCAGAGGCGTGTTGTTTGCTGACAAACTGAGTGAACCTGTATAGAGGGTATAGGTAGAAAACATAAAAGTGATTGTAGAAGACAGTTTGTGCTGTCCTGTGGGTTCTAAAACACTTTCAATTCAGTATGTCTGCTATATGTTTTATTTAGAAAAGAGTGATAAATCACACGCTGTGTTTTTTTTACTTTCTAATTTAGTTTGTTTTGCTGGAGGCTTTGGAAGCAGGGACTTATCTAGGGCTTTCTCTCGTTTGAGTTTTTGTTTCTGTTTGATAAACATAGTTGTTAAGACCTTTTGGCCTCTTTTTGTTATTGTTTGCATAGATTACAAAGGAAATTGTTGAAATGGTCAGGCCATTGTATTTTGGGTAGGATGATCTTGCCAAAGTTGGGTTACATTATTGCAATATGTTCTTCAGAAGGCCAAACCTTGAAACCTAACTGAAAACTGGATGGAGGGTGGAATGTTATTTTTTGTCAACACAAAGCATCAGTGGTTTGTGCTGTGCATAAGCTAGCAGCTGATTCTGTATGAAATTTGAGGTAGTATTTGATTTAGTGAGCTTTGAGTTATTAGGATCCTTTCTTCCCAAAGTTTCCATATTCATCCCTCTTGAATAAGTACCACAGTTGCAATAGCCTGAAATTTCCTTGATATAAATGGAAAGGGGTGATAGGATGTTATTTTTGGGGAGGTTGGGGCTGGGGCATTTTAATCTGCTTCCTTTTGTGGTTCCCGAGAGCCTGAATGTGATGATTTTGCAAGGCCGATTTTCAAAACCTTGCCTCAAAGCTGTGCTTGAGTGGCACTGATTTTGGGGGAGTAAAGTCAGCAAGGTCATCCCTGGGTTCATTTTGTTTTGTAAAGGTCTGCATTAGAGGTCTGTTGTGGTCTTCTGTTATGACCAACCAGACCATCTGTTGTGGCCTTAGTAGTGTAGTAACAAGTAGCATGAAAAGTGTGTGACCAAGCATGGGCAAGCGGAAAGGCAATATCGATGTGAACAAAACTGGAAATATAGGGGTGCTGTGGGCCGGTGAGCGCAGCGGCTTTGCTCCCTCCTGGGCTCTCCTTGATGGAGTGCCTGGCACTTATTTGCAGCAAGCAATGCCTTCCTGATCCCGGCAGCAGGATGGACAGACTCTGGGGAATAGATATCCTCCAAGCAGCAAGACTAAGTACGCCTGTCTTTACTGCATCTTCCTCAGCAGTCTTTACACAGAATCACAGAATCTTAAAGGTTGGAAGGGACCTATAGAGATCATCTAGTCCAACCTTCCCGCTCAAGCAGGCACACCTAGAGCATGTGGCACAGGGCAGCATCCAGGCGGGTTTTGAAGACCTCCAGAGAAGGAGACTCCACAGCCTCCCTGGGCAGCCTGTTCCACTTTATGTGTCTTGCTTCTCTTTGGAGGGTACATTTTTTTTTCCCCATGAGATTTCTTATTCTAGATAGAAACAGTGTTATTGTTGGTTTCAGGCCTTTATTCAATCTCTTCTCTTCTTAAATATAATCTTAATAAAAATCACTCAGTGAACATAGTCCTGATCTGAATGAAAATAAATATTTTGAAAAGCTGGAAATTTAAATTACCTGGTGTGAGTAGTGACTCATACTCTTTGGTAGATTCCCTTTGGTATTTTGCTATTCTATTTATTTTTACATTATTATTTGAAAAGTTTTATTTTGTATGCAACTAGGATTGCTTCTCTAAGCAAGCATGTTATAGTTGTGCTACATATCCACAGAAATATTGAATTACTTTGGAACTTTTCTTTCCTTTGCTTTTTTTTTTTTTTTGGATGGACTATTTTTTAAAAGATATTTTAAAAGTCAGACTTTATAAAATTGTACTTTGTTTCCACTTCTTTATATATACATGAATATATATTTACATATATAAATAAAAATGATTTCTGCTTTATTAATAAAGCACATCTTGGTTAATTTAAAATTATACAGGGAGGATGGATTAGGTGATGAAATTGAAAGTGTCAGGGAATGGGGTGGATAAGAAACAACAGCTTTGATCACTGCTAAGCCGGAAAAAAAATGAAGTCAACTAGGAGGCACTGAGATAAATATTCAAGAAAGATTAAGGACATGGAGAAGAAGGCAAAATTGCTTAGGTCTGGCAGGGCAGTAAATGTTGTTACATGCAACCACATTTAAATTATGCAAGGATATTATTTCTGCTTAGGTAGTTAAGTTGTCACTGAGTTGTCTGATCTTCCCCATTTTTCTGATTTCACTAAGAAAAGAGAATTTTGTGATGTCAGAACTTCTTCACAGTTCTTTCTCTCCTGTACAGGTCATACGGACTTGTACAAAAATATTAAAATTAATGCTTAAGCTGATTTAGTATGTAGAGCTCGATACAGAAGTCTGGATTTAAAGAAAACAGGTTTCTTAAATCATTTCAGTAACAGTCTCTGCTAGCTAACATATTTCTAAGTTTCAGTAATGACTGTGATATTCATTCACAGCTGTTAAATGAAAATATTTGATATTCTGGGGAAGAAAGCATATGAAAATCGACTCCGTGGGGTGGCTGGCAGCGCATGGGAAAGCTCTCAGGTAGCTTTGACTGGTATGAACGTTTTGTACCGCAGCAGGAGATGTCAGGGAATTTTGGCTAGATGAAGGAGAGCAATTGAGCATACAAGTCATCAGACAACTGCTGGAGTAGGTTTAGAGTAGGAAAGTGCAACAGTAGGAAACAACTGGTTTAGAGTAGGAAGGTGCTCCTGGTGCTGGATACCTCAACTCATCAAAACGCATGAAGTTTTGCTGCACTGAAAAAAGGAATATTGAAATTAGGCAAGTAAGAAGGATTCTAAAAGACCCCAGTGTCCTAGGCTCAAAAGCCGGATAAATTTGAGAAAAGGATGGGGATCTGAGAAGATAAATGCCACCTGTTCACCAATCAGCAATGAAAGCACACATGGTAAATTGGTAGTTAATGTATACAGAAAGCTTCTTCATGTTGCACCCGGTTTTATTTGTCACTTGGGCACTTTATTGGGCAGATTCTCTCTCTAATGAAAAGTGAGAGATGGAAAGGATTGTTGCTCTTCCTATTGGTGACTGCACATCCTCTCATCTCTTTGAATCTCATTTACCAAGTCTGCGGTAGCTACCCATAATGACCTCTTACTAGAGGTAAACTTATTACTATTTCCAGCATAGATTTGTTCCATTTTCATTCAGCTGTGTACTGCGCATAAGGATTCATAAATTACTAAGCCAAAAACTCTTAAGCATCAACTTTTAATATGTTCTACTTTTTTCTTATTGTGTAAAAAACACTTTTATAGTTTTTATATAAGTGATCTTCTAAAGAGAATGGGGATTAATTTTCTCTAAAGAGAACAAGGATTGCAAATTCAGGTGCAAAAAGTCTTTTTTGAGTGAGATTTTTCATAGTACCTCTTCATATTGGAATTCCCCTTTGGATAGAAGATTTTGCCCTAACAACATCAATTTACTGTGTGAGGAAGAGTCCTCTTGCATCTTATTTGCTCTACCCCTTTCCAATTAGAAGAGGACAGAGAGTGATAAAAGAGTATTTCTTTTTGCTGTAACTCGATAATTTCAAAGCTAGATCTGCTCTTCTTTCCTACAGTCTTCAGAAGAGGATGGGACTTAAGACTTCTGAGAGTTTTGTGCTTGTTTTTTTTCTTTTCTTTTTTTTTTTTTTTTTTNTTTTTTTTTTTTTTTTTTGTTTTTGTTTTTTAACAGGCCAAGCTCTGATAACAGGCGCCACAGCATCCGGGAGAGGATGTCCAGTACCAGCGAGAAAGGGAGCTTGTCCATGGAGTCCACCAAGGAGACGCGGTACTGTGCTGTGTGCAACGACTATGCCTCAGGCTACCATTATGGGGTCTGGTCCTGTGAGGGCTGCAAAGCCTTTTTCAAACGGAGTATTCAAGGTAATAAGTTCAAGTGAATCCCTTGAACTCTTTGCTCCAGAGGAAACTGTGAAGCTACTTGAGACTACAGACTGAGGCCAGGAGAATGAAATTTACTGGGTGTTCTTCAGGAACTGCTGTGCTCTACCATGTATTTTTAGCACTGTATTTGGAGAATGCTATTAACAGGTATATAGCATGTTTATTTTTAGTCACAGATAGCTTTGGAGGTGGGGGGAGGGACACTGTCTATATTCTGACATTCTGCTTGGCTTTTGTATATCTGATCATGGAGATAATAAGTGAGGAATCTACTTTAAAAATCCATATTGGGCCTGGTTGACAGCTTTTTCAGGATATGCATATGTCCTTTCTGTGAAGGAAAACTTTTTCAGAACAACTTTTTCTTGAAAATTGCCTTTCAGTTCAATATTAATCCATGTTGGATAATTTCTTAATCTATATTTAGTGCTCCAATAAAAAGATTGTTCCATACAAAGCACAGCTTTGGGGATGTCAGAAATCTCTTGAGCGCTAATTTGGAAAAGGAGTTTCCTGTAGGAAATGATATGTGTATTTTCCAGAAGAGTAGAGCTTTGAACTATTTACAGGACAGTATAATTCACAGACATGGTATAGCCAAAAGCATATACTGTACAGCATTCAGAGGAGGAGAGCACAGCTAACAGAACAGCGTTAATTGCTGTGACCAGGGTGATTCTTGACTGAAATGTCTGTCACTCTTATGCAACATCTCCTAAATGGAGAAAGAAGTTGTGATTCTACTGCAAATCATATTAGTATCTGTCTTGCACTGCAGAAGAAAGTAGGAAGAAATTTCTTCCTTTCCAACAGAAAACTCTCAAAGTGCTATGCTTTTTTTTTTTTTTTTTTTTTTTTTTACATCTTCAGGTAGTGTACATGTACAAAAATTCCTGTTGCTCTTTTTTTTTTTTTTTTCTCTTTAAAGTAAGCATAGGAGAAAACAGTTTTTGCCTCATATCACAAGGTGTGATTATTACCTGTTTTGTTGTCTGAGTACCGCTGAGGGGAGTTAAATAGAATTTCCAGCATTCAGCTCCAGACCTATTCCAAGCTTTAAAGAAAAAAGTGAAAGATTGCCTCCAGGGGAGACATTGATGAAATGATTTGAATGTCAGTGATTAGTTAATAGCTACTTGTTTTTCTGCTTTTCCAGATTCATCTAAATGATTTTAAGAAAAGACAGTGGTTACAGCCAGCAGTCAATAATGAGTAAGACTGGAGGAAGAAAGGGTGAAATGCTTTTCTATTGTTAACATCCAAATGATTTATTTAAACTTGTAAAGTATGGAGAACAGCTCTTCTAGCTGAGTCCTTCTCTCCACCTCCCCTCTCCTTTTTTTGAGTCGTCTGACTGAATCTTAATTATTCTTAGAATTTTTGAATTTTGAATTTTTGTCCTTGTGCTTGAACTGAACTAAGTTCTTTTATGCAGAACAACTTCCCCTTCTCTTCCCTCCCCACTTCCCTTTTTTTTTTTGGTAAGAAGTATGAGAAGTATGCCCTGCTTCTATGCTTCTTTTTATTGTTTAGAACAATACTGTATTGACAGAATTAAGTTCTTACATCTGTTACTGACATTACTGGTTTTTGGACAACCCGTAAGCAAAGTGAAAATTGAAAATACTCTGAAGCAAAAGCCAAAGCTTATTTATCCAGTAATTGTACAGTACAGATCTTCAGCTTTTGGTCATTAAAGAAGAAGAAATTAATCTACTTCATTTAGTTCCACTGTCCTGCACCAAGACTTGAATAATTCTGCTCTAGTCTGTAATAACTACGGCTCTCAGCAGTGGATCTGTCATCTACGTTTTCTACACTACTTACTAATTAATAAATTTAGTTATTGCTACATTTACATGCCTAATATATTTTTTTTAAATGTGGAGCTTTAAAAATGAAAGGCTTAAGATTTCAGTGTTCCTTAAAATGCTTTTCTTAATCTTTAATTTAGCTCATGTTTGCTGTAATTTAAACCCATTGTTCTTGCCTTGTTCCTTGTAGGCATGAAGAAGGCATATTGAAACAACCTTTTACATAGTTGAAGACTGTTATCATATCTTTCCTCAGTCTTCTCTTCTTTAGACTAAACAAACCCTCTTCTTTCAGTAGAACATGCTTTCTAGACTTCTGATCCCATTTGTTGAATGCCTCTGAACTTTCTGCGATTGATCCACATCTTTTGTGGATAACATCTATCATAAGAAATGGCTTCCACTTGTATCAAGAAGATGATTAGAGTATGAGCATTTATGAGAGAATTGTAATTATTGGCTGATCACAGCTGCTATGAAAAAGAATTTTATCATAAATGCCCAGTCTTAACAAGCTAAGGGATTATCTAAATTTCCTGTTGGAATTGGAAGCAATATCTACCTTCACACTTGCATGTTTTCCTTCAACTCATGCCCGATTTACTAAAATGATGGCAATTTTTTGAATCAGCATACATGAGAAAATATGCTATGTAACTTGTAGATTATAATGATATGAAAGAGGTTATAATTAACACTATCCATTTCTAGATGCTATAGGTGTAAAAGTGTTTGTAGAAGAATGCGTGAGTATTGTTGTATAGGGAACACACCTATGATATGCAATCCTAAAATATGGATAAAATTCCCTGGTAATCATATGATTCAGCTGTATTGAGGAAAACAGTACATGCTTGTATTGTGATACAAAATTCTTTCATCAATGAAAGAATGATTTTTATTGCTGCTGCTAATAGCATAAAACTTTATATGCAAAATAACCACACTACATCTGTGCTTTTCTGTGCTGTATTTCCCAATATGGATGCAGATGCAGAGATGCCTAGTCTGCTTTATAATTTCAATCAGAGATTTTATAGCAGAATTGCTATAGTGAAGTGCAATGTTATTAGCATACTTCAGTGAAATCATTCTCTGCAGTTTTTAATAGGACTATAGGTAAGAGCGAACACAGATCTGAACAATGAACAAGCCTGATAGAGTAATTTATTTTCCTCACTATGTCATCTGTTCTTCTAGTGACAGCATTTATTTACCTATTTGCATAAGTAACTACTGAAATTTTGTGAAAACTAACATCTGCATCAGACCTTGTCAGAGATGCATGGCTTTATTTTACTTTAGAGGAGATGGAACAGTTCTGGAGATATTCCATGACTTTCAGATTCTAAAGTCTTTGCAGTCAAACAGAAGAATCTAACAGAATTTGTGACTGTCTGTCAACTACGTACAATTACTGAATTTTGTTTAAACAGCAGATGGTTGGTGAATATCACAAATGCCTCACAAACTTGCAGATGTCAGTCCCTTTTGCTAGCTTATATTCCAATAGTGACTTTGTTTTGAGAAAACAATGTGCAGACTGATATTAATGTACAATGTTTCACAAGAGAAAAATCATATGACAGAAAGAACACTGTGTTGCTTGGCGATATAAAGTTGCTTTATTCCTCCCTCAGCCTATGTAGCCTTCAGGAATGTACTTGGTCAACTGGCTTGAATGCAGAGGCATAACAAGCAGTCACATCACAGCACACTGTACTTCTCTATTAAAATATTTATGTATTTTTAGACCAAGAGGGGCCATTAGAGTATTAAGTCTTGCCTCCTCCTAGTGTAAACTTTATAAGTTATCCATATAAAGAGCCTAGTAACTTGCTGGAGGTAAATTTTTAGAAGACATCAGCCTTGAGCTGGGCTCAAGAGCATGCTTCCAATGATTGTTTGTTCTAGAGATTTGTTCTCCCATCTGCTAAAAAAAATCTTTATAGTTTGAATTACTTTGGCTTATATAATGAATGCTTAATTTATTATGGATTTCCTATTGGAAGTTATTATATGTTATTATCAAATCATGATGATAACTAAAGTAAAATGCTTGAGTCTTCCAGTGTATATCTTCCAAGTCACTTCCTTTATCTTTACATCTTTTCTGATCCCCTGCATCCTTAATGAACCTCTTAATAACAGAATTATGTGAAGCATTTCAACATCAATCTCACAAATGCTATTTACTAATTAAACACCACCTGTAACTTGCACGTACTTTCCACCTTCTATTTTTTCTGTTGTTTGGATAGCCATCAAAGTGTATGGGACAGGAAGGAATTGTTTTTACCATCTATGACTCGCATCCTGCAATTGCAAAAAATGTATTTGCAATCCTGCAAATTTCCTAATATTGAAATGTGTCTTGATCAGAACTGTCAAAGTATTCCAGAAATCTTCAATTCTATTTTTCTGCCTCCTTCATATATCCTTATGATTTTTTCATGCACACTCTCTGCCTTTTTTCATGGCTTTAGACTTGCACAGAAATATGACAAATTTCACAAATACAAATCTAAGATGATGCAAGACGATTCAAGACAAGCAAGAATAGATTGTCATCTATGATTAAATGTCTTCAATTGCACAAAAAGGGGTCTTCAAAATGTGGAAAATCTTAAAGCTGGGAAGTACTTTAGTTGTGTGACTAGAAAGTGGATTGTATTTAACAGTTATGCCTTCTGAACTTCAAGTGGAAGAGTTTTGGCAGTAGACTTTGAGTGTTATCAGTTGTTTAGCTTCAGAGTGATAGAACTGTACTTTGTTGAAAGCATGTAGTTGAGATTTTTCTTAACATTAGGAGTGCTACATATGTACACACACATAATTTCTTCTGAATTGGAGAGATTTTTGATGGTAAAGCATGGTTACCATTGGGTATGCATGGGTGACCATAACATAGTAATTGCATGTTTGTCAGTTTGCGGGGTTTCTGAGATCTTCCTATTAGCTCGTCATTACTGCCTTTTGTTTTCATGGTATTTTTGTAATCTGTTTGATAACAGCTGCAAATGCTGCCCAGGATCCTGCAGCTGAGAAACAGAAACTCCCTATTAAGACTGCTTATCCATTGATTCTATGAGCTGTCAACAGAAAAAACAAAACAGCAGAACATGAGCCTAAGTGTGACATGCAGAAATAATCACAATGAAACAG